TCCTAAAACACCATAATCATCTTTCTTAATACCCCCTCTCCCTCTTCCACTTGATTATGGTTGAGAGAACATCCATAGGGGTAATTTAGAGAAAACTGATAAATATGAGAAATGGGTCTTATATTTAGAACCAAAACCAACTCAACAATTGGGTCCTATATTAAGGATCGGAGGAGTATATTATTTATAAATTCTAAATAATCTGGCTCATTTCAGTCACTGTATAAATATTTAAAAATTATTGTCGGCACTTTGTATCCGACGGGCCAAGGTTGCCTGATATCCCTAGACTGATACAGGGATGAAAGAAACATAGCGAAACAAGTAAAGAAGCCAACGGATTTTTGCTAGCTCCATAGTAATTTAGGATGAATTTACACACACACACCCCAAGGCACAAAGAATCCAAAGGCAACACATACAATGTTCGCCACTCCTACGAATTAAAAAATTAACTTGGGTGGCCACGAATGATATAAAAATATATAACACAACACAACACTCACAGAGACCCTGTATATGTAGCTGCATAAATATACTTTGGTTGACAAGAAAATAAAAAGATGTTAATTGTTACTGCACTGCTTCTCTTCATCTATTCATCTTTCTTTTGTTTCTTCCTTATCGTGTCGATATATTTCGCAGGTGCTTTGATGAGTTTCATTATCTCTGAGGAGCACGAAGCTATAAAATTACTGGAAATCGGAATCGATATTGCTTGGTTATTATTCATCGCGTATGTTTCTTTCATCTACGCTGTCCGATTTGCAGCTTCCTGTAAAAGGAGGATCATGGAAGATTGGAGCCGTACAAGGTCCCTGCAAAATATTATAGCACAGAAGAGACCAACTTGTGTTGAAGCTCAAATGGTTAGTGAAGAACACCAACATTATGAATACCATAATGAAGTGCTGGTTGAAACAGGAATGGCCATTTTTGTGATTAGCTTTTGGTTCTTGAGCTGTTTGGGTCTGGTCAAGTGTGTATATATCATAATGGATTTCGTTGGTTCTATGAACGAAGCACACGAAGCTGGACAAGTACTGAGGTTGGGAATCGGACTTGCCTGGTTCTTATTTTCAGCCTTATTTTTCCTCTTCTTTTGTGTGGTTATACCCGCTGGTTTTATACGTAGTATCATCGATCATTTTGGTGCCATCAAGATTATTGAACGTGGGAAATCGAATGTTATTACAAGTGACAACACCCACCTCAACAATTTTACCATGGTAGATCTGTAATATGAAATATCTATGAATACACGCATGTGGTTGTAATAAATGCAGAGTTTCTAGTTTTTTTTTTTTTCAATAGGACTTCCAGAACATGAAATTACCGGCATTATAAATTCAGCAAAAAATATTATATTCAAATAATTAACAATTCGAGGTAGGTACTTTATTTGTAAGTATACATATCACCGGAGCAACGTATATTTGAAGCTAAATCCAACATTTTTCAGTCATTTCGGATAGCTCTTCGATAAATCTGTTATATATGAAACAAATATATATATATATATATATATATAAGTATGTATTTTATTCTGTCTAAGTATGACTGAAACTGACTGACATGCATGGTAGTTCGAAGAATTGTCATTTCCCAAAGAGAAACGACGGAAGAAAAAGACAACGAGAGAAACAAAGTAATGGGCAACGTGACCTAGGCGGCAACGAAAATGATAATGATATATATATATATATATATATATTTATATATATGTACATAGCTCTCAACCAAAGCAATTACCATGGTTTGCTTCTTATATATTTCGCACTGAAACACTTAAACTGAACCCGAGAATATACTTTCATTGCAATAATATTATTACCTCGTATCCGTTTCTTTTTTCGAGGGGAAGAAATGCAGATTGACAAAGTAAAAGCCATCATCACTTCACTGTGTCTCTTCATCTGTTCTGGTTTCTTCTTTTCCTTTCTCTTGCTGCTGATATATTTATTGATCGTCTCCGTTATCGAAGAGCACAGTGTCATAGAAGCATTGACAGCGGCATTTGTAACCCCAGGGTTGATATGTATGGCCTTTGCTTCGCTTTTCTACACCCTACTATATAAAGCTCGTTGTAAAAGCGGTTTCATGGAGTATTTAGCAGAAACCAGTAAGATTTCTGTTAAACTGCAGGTTCAATACCGAGATGAAGAAGACAATAATGGAATTGTTGAAACGGCAGTGTTGATCACGGCTTCAGTTGTGGCATGGGCCTTGAGTTTTATGCTTCTCATAATCCTTATAGATGGCAGAGATCAGGACTCGGTGATGGGTTCTTTTGGTCCTTTTCAAGTTCTTCTCTCACTGTGCGACATTGTTATGTTTTTACTTGCGGTACTGTTATCAGCTTCCTGTATCTGTGGTGTCGTCGATCATTATTGCCGTGGCACTGAGGTTGCAACTTCTTCACCAACTTCCATGGAAAGTGAGCAACCTTTTATTGTTTAGTACTCCCTCCCATATCTAATATTGGACTTAGATGGGTTATATTTTATCCTAAATATAACATTTTTAATTTACTTTGTTTCTCTTATTTATTATTTTTCTGCAAACTAATTTATCAAGCGTGTACAATGATATATAATCTAATATTACACAAAGATATATATATTGCTACATTTTTTATAATTAACAATTTATTTGGCTTCATTAATTTACTTAAATTTAGTTCTTATATTAAGGATAAGAGAATGAGTATCAACTAACAAACAGTAAGTTGTAAATATAAGCTTATTTTCTTTTTTGACTACTATAAAAACTGTGATGTAGGCCCGTTTTATTAGTAGCCAACAATAATTAATTCCAAATTGAAAATAGCATTAAAGCCATAATTATTAAGAACCATATAAGCCCATTCTTTGGAGACCAACAAAACTGGGAATAGATTTAATAACATGAAATTACAGGCACTCATTCTACGAAAAATAAATTCAAATAATTAAGAGTTAAGGTGCATTCAGTATCCCGAAATATTTTCTCAGGTACATCCAGTACCCTAAAGTATTTTGTAGGACATTTAGTATCCTGAAATATTTTTTATATGTATCTAGTACCATAAAGTATTTTTTTAGTTCATCTAGCATCTCAAAGTATTTTTTTTAAGTGAGTCCAGAACCCAAAAATATTTTTTGGTGCATCGAGCACCCAGGCAAAAATAATACTTCAAGGTGCTAGGCTCCCCTAAAAAATATTTCAGAATGATGGATGCACTATAAAATACTTTAGGGTTATGGTTGTACCTGAGAAAATACTTCAGGGTGCTGGATGCATCTTAATCCAATAATTAATAATTTTAAAATATCATCAGGTACTCTATCTGTCTATATAGGCATCACCCGTGTATATTTGAAGCTGAATCCGAATTTATTTATCAACTCTCAAAACATACCCCTTATATATTCGAGTAAAATATTCTTTATTTTAATTTGAGCAAGATTATATTAAAAAACATGGGGTTCCAAATCGTGATTTCTCAGAAAGAAACGAAGGAAAGGCAACGTAAGAAGCAACAAAATAGTACAGCAACGTAACCTGGGCGGCAACGAATGATAATATGTAAACATACATGATAAGATAAAATACTGCAATACAAGTTGTCAACATGCGTTCGTAATTACTAAAATCTCCTGCGCACACACAAATTTAAACACTTAATAAGTTGAAGCTACGACTATATTTCAGGGGGAAAAGTAATGCAGATTCACAAAGTAAAAGCAGTGATTACTTCATTGTGTCTCTTCATCTGTTCTGGTTTCTTCTGTTCGTTTTTCATTGCCGCGATATATCTAGTGATCGGTTTCCTTCTCGAAGAGGACATTAATCTTGTACAACTACTGGTGTCGGGGGGAATTTACCTTCCTACGTTGGCATTCATGGCCCTATGTTCCCTTGATTATACAGTCCGATTTGCAGCTCGTTGTAAAAGCAGTATCGACCATTTATGTCAACCAGATACCTCCAAGATCGCAACTCATACTCTAAATTCTGTTAAACTGATCGTTCAATACCAACATGAAGATAATGAAATATGATTGAAATTATTGCAGGGTGGATCTATCACACGGCTTCAGTTATTACATGGGCAGTGAGTTTTTATGCTTCTGGTAAACTCTGTAGATGTCATATGTAAGGAAGAACTCACTCTTGTTGTCATTGGTCTTCTCTTATTAGCCTGTGTATATCTGTAGCATCATTCATTATTGTCGGGGTGGATCCAAGGTTGCACCTTCACCAACTTTTGTTGAAAGTGAACAACCTTAAATAATACGATATTACTCCTCCGGTCCTTATTATAAGACCCCATTTGACTTTTTATTTGGTCCTAATTATAAGACCCCAATCCATTTTGTCTCTTATATTTATGCATTTTTTTTCCAAGATAATCCTTCTAATAATGATAGTTTTAGCCAATATACTTAATTAATAAGGATATTTTAAGAATGACAACACTTATTTATCATAAATAACCAACTTAACTTATTTCCTTAATCTCCTCAAATAAGTCAATTGGATCTTATAATTAGGACCGGAGGAGTAATTTGTAATAACCCCTGTGTGTGTGCGCGCGCGTCTATAAAAGTATCCCACAACATTAAAATTAAAATTGTGTCAAGTACGGCTATGGTGTTTTGGATATTTGTTGGTATCTGTTCTTGGCCAATAAAAAAAAACAGAAATAGTTAAACAGATCATAGTTGGCTCGATGGGAGAAGATTAATTAAAAAGAGACTTGTAAGTTTGATGAGCCATGATGTCATGATATATATATATATATATATATATATATGAAGATTGAATATCAGAAATTGGTAGCTACTTTGCCCATTTCAACATAAAAAGAAACTGACAACCTTTTACCATATGACACGCTTCGACATTGATATGAACACGTACGCCTTGAGATACAGACCAAGCACCATACATACATATAATAATCAAATTTCATCCAAATGTGAAAGTAATAAGCAAAAGAAACACATGGAAATAATCTACTCATCAGTGAGATAGACATTGAAATGCAGGATGGTGTCTACTCCGTCCGTGGTGTGCTGATCCACCTTCGGAAGCGACTCGAGAGCAGCATATCCCATTGCATTCTCATACTTACCTGTGCCGCCGATCACGGCGATCTCCGATCCCGGCGATGCAGTCCGGTGAACACCGAAGAAGCTTATGGTATCCTCAACCCCGTGATGTTCCTCACCGCTGTGTAATATAACTGTGACCACAAGGGTTTGGCTAGTGCCGTCCAAGGAGCTAGCCAAGTAGAGGCCTTCTGCTTTACCAATCACAGTAGAATCTAGCTCGTGCCCTTCGGTTAATTGGTCGTCGATCACCGTCACCGACCCGAACATGAGCTTCTGGAGGGTGAATCCGGATGGGAGGTTGTTGGCATTCACAAAAGGCCGGTTATCGCCGCCGCTCACTGCACTGCCGGAGCCTCGGTTTTGGAACACAGTAGAGGTTTGAGCAGCGTTGAGGCCTACAAGGAGTGGCAGGTTGTTGTTGGTGACGATGCCATTGAGCTTGGGGTTGACTAACGGAATTCCTCCGACGATGGGGAAGAGGTTGTTGTTGATCTTGGAGAATGGTAGGCCGGTGACGTCTGTGTTAGCGACGATCCCGGCCACCACCCTGGCCGATGGATGTGTCCCGCCAATAACGTCGTGCATATAGAAAGAAAGAGTTGGCTCTTTTCCGGCCGGGTTTGCCGCTGCTGCCGCGTTGCCTCCGGCGACTGGGGCGCCTGCCACCGGGAGGGCTGGAGTTACAGCTGCAGGCTCTGGTTGGTCTGGATTTTCTTCTTCACTCTCATCGCCTGGAATTTTTAACCAAAATTAGAAGGGGCAAAAAAAAAAAAAAGACTGCTCAAACCTCTCTGTTACCACGAACATTTCCGATTGGTTTGAGCTTTCTCATGTTCTTAGCTCTGATTCTCACTCACAAAACAAAACTTAGCTTAAAAAGCAGCCAGAGATATAAAAATGTCATTAATTCAACGTTATATATGTTGGATGTTACCGTGCATTTGAATGAAAACAAGTTAATGGCCTGCATCTATGAAAATGTTTTCATATTATATTCTTTATAACGATATTCTTCTTTTGGCCACCTTTATAACAATATACTTAACATAACTCATTTATTCTTACAAAAATGTGGCAAAAAAAAAGAGTTAAATTCTGTGATGAATATGATTGATAGTTCATTTCATATGGATAACATTTTACCTGCAGCCGGTGCAGAGGCAGTCACAGCAGCCGGGGCTTGAGTGGAATCATCAACATTCTCGTCATCATCAGCTGCGCCATCATCAGCGTCCACGGTGGTGGGGGCGGCGGCCGCGGCGGCGGCAACCGGGGCACCTGCCGTTGGTGTTTCCTCCGGGGTGTCATCGGTAACTGGGACCGGGAGGGGAGGGACCGCGGTGGCAGCAGGTATTTGGGTGCTTGGTAACGTGGTTGCCGGTATTTGAGGAACTGCAGGAATGGCTGGTCCTGGTTGATTGTTGATGACTTGAGGTTGTGGATCCACTTCATCAAGAAGCCTAGCAGAGTTGACAATATTATACACACTGACTAAAAAGAAGAGGCAGCCGATGAGCTTGAAATTGCCGAGTTCCGCCATTTTTACCGATCAGAGAAGGCTGTGTGGGTTTGAAAACGAGAGACTTTAGATGAATGCTTCAACTGTAGAATGCTGTGACGAAGCAGAGTTTGTTGTTGTGTATTTATACCTGCGCATAGAACAGGAGGCTCCCTAATATTTTGTATTTAGTTTAAACTGAATTGAAGTTGGTGGCATATTTGATTAAGGGTAAAAAAAGCTATGGAGTGGTTGGATTTCGATGTTGTTCCTCTCTAGCTTCAGGGGTGTTTTGGTTGAAACAACTCAACAAAATGGAATGTTTCATCAAATTATATAAAATGATCCAAGAAACATATATACCAATTATATAAAGTGATAAAGTGATATAAGAAAATTATACAGATGCCCCATCATGGGCAGGTCAACTATACCTTTAGTTACTAGACAGTCGCATGCATAATTGAGATGGAAATTGAATTGAAGTTGGAAGAGTTTGATTTCAAAGTTCAATGTGGATCACTAAAAAACCATAATTTTCTATTAAATTGATATATCATGGGTTAGATAGATTACTCTCTCTCTCTCTCTGTGCACGTACGTGGTCTTGTTGAGAAAATTATGCGAACAGAGCAGACAACTATTCTTTCTGCTTTGATTTGATTTATGTTTTTGCTCGTTCTGTTATGCCGAGGATCTCAGATTAATCTGCTTTCTTTAGGAAAAATTCCCAATGCTTGAGTAGCATATCACATGCATAATATTAAGCAATTTGGAGTTTTATTTACAGAAGTGGTCACTGTGAAATTTAATTGTACTTAGATGCTGTAGTATCTGGTTCTATCTTTATCAACATTTTCCAGTTACCTCACACTACAACAGGATAAATGTACAGAGGTTAAAGTTTAAACCAATTCTAAAAATAGTGACTGCCAATGGGATTAAAGTTTGGTTTGATTATAGCTCTGATATAGAATATATGTTATACAGCTTATTGAATTCTCAAATCTCAGAACATACAGAACATAACATTTCAGTATTCTACCGTGCCAAATATATGTTATGGGATTTCATTGTTTCTCTCATCTTAAATATGGATCTCTTCCTTTCCATTTTTTTACCTTTTGCCAGAAAAATGGATCCTCTATGGATCATTAAAAGAAACGAAATCACACAGGTACAACCTATCAGGCTATCACGCTGCTAAAACCGGGAAAAGAATAACATAGAAACACAGACATGAGTTATATATCAGTATAACACTCATCCAGATGTTAAACATGAAACATTCTCAGCCTCCTTCTTCCAGCAGTTCTTGCAAGCATTCTCAGCCTTGAGCCCTTGACTCTGTTGGCAACTAAAATTTCAGCTGAGGCAGAGATTGATAGAGAGGTGAACTCTCTTCCTTTCCTTTTAATAAATCTTTTTTTCCCCTTGGGAATCATGTTGTTCATGTGGCAGAAGTTACTTATTTTACCGTAGGATATAGTTTCTTAAAGTTTTGCTTAATCTTCTTGCAGCTTTCATTGATATATCCACTGAAAAGAGAGGAATAGTATTGAATTAAATCAGAGAAAGTTCATCAGGAAAGTAAGTTTATACTAATTTATAGTTCATTTGACAAAAACATACGAACTTGAAGAAGTCATTATATTGTGTTCATCACCACCTTTGAATATTTACTATAGGTAGGAGAACTAAAATTACAGGAAGTCGATCGCTAGTTTGATTGTTTACAGCAAATAAGAATGATATATATCTCAGTACTACAGAGGAAAACAAGCCAGACCACTATCCAACTAGTTGATATATATCAAATAAGGTACACATCGAAGGAAAGAAGCTTAGTGCTGGTGACTTTTCCTTTGTCTTCACTAAACCCTACTCGTTCTACAACCTTAATAGAAGCATAGCCATTGGCATCCTCGTACTTGCCAGTACCACCAATAACTGCAACGTGCGACTCAAGAACATCATTCCTCTGCTCTCCAAAAAGTCTCAACCCATCATCGTCCTCTCCAAAACTCACGGTCAGAGCAATCATATAACTACTCCCATGATCCTCTGAGCTGTCCACGTAAACTCCTTCTGCTTTCCCAATCTTGCCTAGAGAACCATCCGCTTGTTGCAGTAATTCCTGTTGTATTAACGTTATTTTCCGCAGTTCGAGGTCCTGGAGGTTGGCATTTGTGGGAAACAAGAAGCCCATGGATGAGAGGTCCAGAGTCTGGGTTTGGTCATCACCGGAAGATTCTGAAACTGGGATTCCGGTAGTTGGATCAGGAGAAATGCCTTGAGGTTTTGAAAAGACAAAATCACTGGCTGATGAAGACTGAGAGAGACCAATGTCTAGGACGTGTGGCATTAAGAATGTGATTTTGTGAAGATGGCTATGGTTGAGATTGAGGTTGAGGTTATGGTTTGGAATATTGTCTGTTAGGGTTCGAGCAGAACAAGATTGGTTCATGAAGGAAGCCATGAAGGAAAGAAATATGGCTATGGTGGCCTCAACAGAAGGAAGCTTAGACATTTTGTGAATAAGCTTTCTCATTCTCTAATCTGTTTATATAATTTTTATTATTATTTATATAACCTGCTCCGATTATATAATACGCTAACTTTGGACTTTGGAATATAAAAAGTGCAGAAAATCGGGCTTAGGTGGTCGTGGGGTTGTTAATGAGGCGCTGGTACAGTGTCTTTTCTTTCTTCTTCTTTTTTTCCTGTGTTTGTGATTTTCTTTAATATCAAGAGATTTTTTTTATTATTTTCTTAATCTCAACAGCCTAAACAATGGCATTTACTTGACTTCATAAAGAACTATTGTCAAGAATAAAATACAGAAGTGCGTTATATATATTTTTTTTTCCGTTTGTGCAATGATATATTAGTTTATCATTTAATAGTAAGAAGCCATTTAAGATTAGGATGTACAAAATTTGTATTGTTAAAATGTAATATAAATAATTCAAAGATGTTTTAATTAACAGAATCTGGGTTGGGCTGCTTAAACTGATTGAATCAGCCCTTGGGCCTAATAAATAGAAGCCCAATCCCCCCCACGGCCTTTCAAGAAACACTTCTCGGATTTTCTTTTCGGGCCCAAAGATTTACTTCTAGGCTCAGGGTAAATAAAATTGCTTCCAATAACCAACAAGAGTTGGTCCAGTTGGTAAGGAGTAGACTCATGACCCACAAGGTCGTGAGTTCGAATCCCGCCTCCGATGTGAGAATCTTGTTGGTGGGCAATCTGTAAGTACCTCTGTAAGCGCTCTTTGAGCTTGGAGGCATGCCCTGGTCTTGGTGAGCCCCCGGGACCCAACTCACCTAAACTTTATTGTACCAAAAAAAAAATGCTTCCAATAGAAGAATACTTATACTTTAACAAACAACAAAAGATGTTTGTATTAGTTTTTTTGAAAATAATTTTATGAAGTTTGAGATAAATATATGATAGGAGTTTTGTCTCAACATGTATAAAAGTGATTTTTTTTTAGGTGCTTGTGGGATTGCCAAATCTAAATAAACAAGAATGTGATACTTGGGGAAGCTGAAATACTACCTCTAGTCCTAATTATAAGACCCTGTTTATATATTATAAATAAGGTTTTATAATTAGGACCAGGTATAGTATAAGATCTAATTTATAGCGCAAATTGCATTATAAAATAGATATTATATTTAGGATCGGAGACAGTATTATACAACACATTAAGAATGCTGCTTATTATTAATTAACGACCTTGTAATATAATACTACCTCCGGTCCTAATTATAAGAGCCAGTTGACTAATTTAAGGAGATTAAGGAATTAAGTTAAGTTAGTTATTTGTCCTAAATATGTGTTGTCTTTCCTAAAATATCCTTGTTAATCGAGTTTATTGACTATAACTATAATTATTAGAAGGACTATCTTAGAAAAAATTGAGTAAATATGAGAAACAAAGTAAATTGGGATCTTATATTTAAGACTAAAATAAAAGTCAAACAGGATCTTATATTAAGGATCGGAAGTAGTAATATAAAAAGGAAATTATGAGTGGGATGTTACAGGTTGGAGTTGGATCATGCTAAGAATGTGGCTTACTAACTTGCGAAAAGACACGCAACGAACTATCTTGGGAGATTTCTAACTTGTTTGTCCAGTGGATGGCTTGGCAATATCATTAGTTTCACTGTCGAGTTAGGAAGTAGCAGTAGCTTAAATTGGAGAGGGATGCGCAGCAAATAAGGAACTGATCAAAACGACAACTTGAAAGCGATGGATCCCTTGGTGGGGGTGTTGATTTTTTCCAAAACGCGGACGAAAACAAGAGGAACTTCCAGTTCCAACATGTCGTCTATTCTTCGGAGGCCTCATATTGACCTTATATGGATTAGTAGGGCGTATTTATTACGGTGGACGTCATCGTTAGACCTTATATACTTGCCTCTTTCACATGATTTTTCCAAAAGCTCACGCACGCTTTCCGTGATTCTTCCACTATTTTCCTTTTCTCTTATTGTCAACTGATTTCATCTTCAACTGCAATTTGAAATGCCGTTCGCAAATTGCAATTAATAGCAACCTAGCCTCCTTATAAAGATATGCCAAAATAGCCAAAAGAAAGAAAGAAATATTCCTTCCAATCTTGTTTATAAAGTCATATTAACTTTTTAAATTAAAAAATTAATCAAAATTAGTTGAAAGTAAAAAAAATTGTATAATTTTTCAAGATTATTTAAGTTGAGAATAATTAAGAAAGATAAGAATATTATTGAAAATAAATCATACATATTTTACTAAATTTTATAAATGGTCTTATCATAAAAATCAATGGTCAAAGAATATGCCCCGTGAATGTCTATTGTTTTTCTCATACTCATTAAACTATTGCTGGTCAAAAAAATGGGTTTATTATATTATATTATGACTATAATTATGTGTACATATGCCATGTGTGGAAGCATTGAGTTGCGGGCCTTGAGCTTTGTTGGCGAGGTTTTCCTTTCATTGAATCTGGGAAAATCTCCCTCCCCTCCTCTCCCTATAGACACGCATACAGATACATAAAGCAAATAGGATAATAAGTTGGGAAAGTTTCGTTTAAGGACCACAGTATAGAATTAATTTCAAATAGCCTCTAAAATTTTCTGAAACTTTACTGCAGGATCAAAAAGACAAACTGATATTAATTTCACACAAAAAATAACACTATTACCTCTCATAATATTTATTGTGAGGTGACATATAAATGAACTAATTTCAGTTTTAAATAAAGGTACATTGTGAAGGAAAGAAGCTTAGTGCTGGTGACTTTTCCTTCGTCTTCACTAAACCCTACTCGTTCTCCAACCTTAATGGAAGCATAGCCATTGGCATCCTCGTACTTGCCAGTACCACCAAGAACATCATTCCTCTGCTCTCCAAAAAGTCTCAACCCATCATCGTCCTCTTCAAAACTCACGGTCAGAGCAATCGTATAACTACTCCCATGATCCTCTGAGCTGCCCACGTACACTCCTCCTGCTTTCCCAATCTTGTCTAGGGAACCATCCGCTTGTTGCAGTAATTCCTGTTGTGTTAACGTTATTTTCCGCAGTTCGAGGTCCTGGAGGTTGGCTTTCGTGGGAAACAAGAAGCCCATGGATGAGAGGTCCAGAGTCTGGGTTTGGTCATCACCGGAAGATTCTCAAACTGGGATCTCTGCAGTTAGATCAGGAGAAATGCCATAAGGTTTTGAGAAGACAAGATCATTGGTTGATGAAGACTGAGACAGACCAATGTCTAGGATGGCATTAAGAATGTGACTTTATGAAGATGGCTATGGTTGAGATTGAGGTTGAGGTTATGGTTTGGAATATTGTTTGTCAGGGTTCGAGCAGAACAAGATTGGTTCATGAAGGACGCCATGAAGGAAAGAAATATGGCTATGGTGGCCTCAACAGAGGGAAGCTTGGACATTTTGTGAACAAGCTTTCTCATTCTCCAATCTGTTTATATTATTTTTATTTTTATTTATATAACCTGCTCTGTTTATGTAATACGCTAACTGGAGCATAAAAAACGAAGAAACTTGGGCTTAGGTGGTCGTGGGGTTGTTAATGAGGCGCTGGTACCATATCTTTTTTTCTTATCTTTTTCAATGTTTGAGATTTTCTTTAATATCATGAGATTTTTTTTAAAATTATTTTCTTAACATCAACACCCTAAACAACGGCATTTACTTGACTTCATAAAGAACTATTGTCAAGAATAAAATATGGAAGTGCGTTATTTTTTTCCCCTCGTTTGTGCAATGATATATTAGTTTATTATTTAATAGTAAGAAGCCATTTAAGATTAGAAGGTACAAAATTTGTATTATCAAAATATAATATAAATAATTCAAACATGTTTTAATTAACAGAATCTGGGTTGGGCTGGTTAAACTGATTGAATCAGCTCTTGGGCCTAATAAATAGAAGCCCACTCCCTCCAATCGCCTTTCAAGAATCACTTCTCAGATTTGCTTTTCCGGCCCAAAGATTCACTTCACGGTTCACGGGTTCAGAGGTAAATAAGATGTTTGGATTAGTTTTTGGGAAAATTACACATAGGCCCCACACAAGATAATTAATTCATAAAAAGTCTCTAGAAATTCCAAAATGATTCTTAAGTCTCCAGGGACCTATGTGTAATAAATTAAAATTATGAAATTACCTACTTACCTCCATTAATTTTATTGCAGTAATTTATTTACAATATTAACAGTAGCTGTTAACAATCTGAGAAAAAGTGATTAACAACCTCGTAGTGCTCCTGACAACTCACTCTGTGGGATAGCAGGGGCACTGCCGAGGTTGTTAACCACTTCTCCTCGGATTGTTAACAACCACTGTTGAGGTTGTAAATGAATGGGGGTAAATAGGTAATTTCACAAGTACAATTTATTACACACAGGTTCCTGGGGACTTGGGAGTTTAGTTTTTTTTCTTTTTGAAACTAATTTTATGAAGTTTGAGATAAATATATGACAGGAGTTTTGTCGATGTGCACAAATTTTTTTTTTCAAGTGCTTCTAGGACCGCTAAATCTAAATAAACATGATTGTGATACTTGGGGAATATTAAATACTACCTCCAATCCTAATTATAAGACTCCGTCAGTAGACTATAACAAGATTTTATAATTACGATCAGATGTAGTATAAGATCTAATTTATAGAGCAAATTGCACTATAAAGTAGATATTATATTTAGGATCGGAGACAGCATTATACAACACATTAAGAATGTTGCTTATTACTTCTCCAGTCCTTATTATAAGACCCAATTTGACTTTTTATTTGGTCCTAATTATAAGACCCAATCCATTTTCTCTCTTATATTTTTGCATTTTTTCCAAGATAATCCTTCTAATAATGATAGTTTTAGCCAATATACTTAATTAGCAAGGATATTTTAGGAATAACAACACTTATTTATTATAAATAACCAACTTAACTTACTTCCTTAATCTCCTCAAATAAGTCAATTGGGTCTTATAATTAGGACCGGAGGAGTATTAATTAACAACCTTGTAATAATATAAAAAGGAAATTATGAGTGGGATGTTACAAGTTGGAGCTGGATCCTGCTAAGAATGTGGCTTACTAACTTGCGAAAAGACACGCAACGAACTATCTTGGGAGATTTCTAACTTATTTGTCCAGTGGGTGGCTTTGGCAATTAAGTTTAATTTCACTGTCGAGTTAGGAAGCAGTAGTAGCTCAAATTGGAGAGGGATGCGTAGGGAACTGATCAAAACGACAACTTGAAAGTGATGGATGCCTTGGTGGGGGTGTTGATTTTTTCCAAAACGCGGACGAAAACAAGAGCAACTTTGAGTTCCAACATGTCGTCTATTCTTCGGAGGCCTCATATTGACCGTATATGGATTAGCAGGGCGTATTTATTACGGTGGACGTCATCTCTAGACCTTATCTGGAACCAATTTTAATACTTATTATCTTGATAAGCACCTCAAACTCATCAAATCAGGGCTATCTATATATGATTTGAACAATCCATATTTAAAATCTTTAATTAATTATTTTTAAATAAAAAAAACTATTTTTTTAGTTAAAATATTATCTCTATTTTAGATTCTATACATATTAAAATAATTATTTTGAATAAATAAAAATTAAAAAAGAAATCAAATCCAAATCATATAAATGAGATATGGATGATTTAGATCTGATAAGCTTATGGTACTCATCAAAATGATTAGTACCAAAACTGTTCCAATCTCTTTTTTTTTTTGTTCAGAAAACTGGTTCCAATCGACTTGCCTCTTTCACATGATTTTTCCAAAACCTTACGCACGCCTTCTATTATTCTTCCAGCTTTTTCCTTTTCTCTTATTGTCAACTGATTCCATTTTCAACTGCAATTTTAAATGCCAGTGGCAAATTGCAATTAATAGCAGCCGAGCTTCCTTATAAAGATATGCCAAAATTGTATAAATTTTCAAGATTATTTGAGTTTTTCTTTTTTGACCAGCCAAGATTATTTGAGTTGAGAATAATTAAGAAAGATAAGAATATTTTTTAAAATAAATCATACATATTTTACTAAATTTTATAAATGGTCTTATCATAAAAATCAATGGTCAAAGAATATGCCCCGTGAATGTCTATTGTTTTTCTCATACTCATTAAAGCGTTAAACCATTTCTGGTAAAACAAAAAAAATTGGTTTATTATATTATATTATAACTATTATTATGTATACATACGCAATGTGTGGAAGCATTGAGTTGCGGGCCTTGAGCTTTGTTGGCGAGGGATTCCTTTCATTGAATCTGGGAAAATCTCTCTCTCTCTCTCTCTCTCTCTCTCTCGCGAAACACACAAACACACCGGCCATCATAAACACGCAAACAGATACATAAAGCAAACAGTATATTAAGTTCACACACAGACATTTGTGAAGAAAGAAAGAGGAAGGTTTCTCATTTTCGCCCAAAAGCTGATTTGTCTTTTGGCTGCAGCCACCTACGTCTGCGTCTCTCTGGATCTCTCCGTATCTCCTCAACCCTCAGTTATCTCTTCATGGTTTGTCTCTTGGTTGGTTTTTCGATTCCAGTCAGAATAATTTATGATTCCTTAATTTCTGCCTCATTATCGTCTCACCCCAATTTCCCTTTGCTAATTTCTGGTGTCGTCGCAGGCCAATGATGACTCAGAAATCGAATACCATGAGGTACGGCATATATATATACACAAACATTCCCATGAACAAACACAAATTTATTATTATTGGTTATATATATATATATATATGTTTGCAGGAGTATATAGAGAACTCTCGTGGAATGAAGCTGATGACTTGCAGATGGGTTTCTGGGAAGGAAAGGTCGAAGGCTTTGATCTTCTTGTGCCATGGTTACGCCATGGAATGCAGCGTCACCATGAACAGTACGTTAGAATCTGAAATAATTGATGAAGATGATGATGATTTAAAAGGATAAGTAAATTATGATGAATCAAATTATATATATATATATATATGATATCAGGCGCAGGAAGAAGGCTGGCGAAGGCAGGATTTGAAGTGTATGGGATGGATTATGAAGGGCATGGGAAATCAGAAGGGCTGCCTGGTTTTGTGAGCAATTTCGACGACGTTATCGCCGATTGCTCTAACTATTTCTCCTCTATTTGTGGTCAGTTTTCTCTTCCTCCGTTATCTCCTTCCTCCTCTAACTTTAATGTTTTTTTTCGCTATCATCTTTTTTTTAATTATATTCGTTCCTTTTTTTCAATGTTTTTGTAATATTATTCTAAATTAAACTCTCATCTCATGTGCGTCACCTTGTCTTTTTGAATAATTCCAAGCTTTATTTTACTGTTTCCCTCACCGTCCAACTCAGCACTTACCCCTCCAAAACATTTGAGTACAATTTAGTGGCAGCCGGTTTAATTGATAAAGCTATACAAATTTTTTTTTCCCATTTCCATTTTGACTCTTCAATTCTCTTAATTTTGAAATTTCAATTTTTGTCTTTATATTTACCACGGCTTATGTCAAGGGGAAAAATGGTTTTGGGCCTCCGGGTAAAAAAAAGTAGAAATTCCTGCTTAATCAACCAGAGTTGGATCTAACAAAATGGATTAATCTTCACAATATGATAAACTAAGATTTAAATTTTGTTAGAAGAAATGCCAACATTTAGAGTCTGATAACACCTCGAACAGAATTATCTTCATATAGGAGAATGCATATGCCTGCTAGCAAAAAAAAAAAAAAACTCTTGCTTGTATCGTATACACGTGAGTGCAAGAGAGGGAGAGAGAAAAGGGAGGAGGGGAAGTCAATTAGTTAAAAATTAATATATATTATTACTTCAATCCTAAACATAAACTCCAGCACCTACTTTCCCATCCTTCTACAAATGAAAATAGTTTGTGCAAGTTTTAATAAACCAAGCAAAACCTTACGATCTATCATATTCTTTATTTTCAGAGTGATTTATGTGGATTTGAAAATCTGTACGCTCCCTTAATATTAGTAAGTTTCGAAATATATATTATATAAGAATAAAGTTAAAAATCATTAATTTTTAAAATAAAATTAATGAATTTTAAGATTTTTTTTAAGTTAAATAGAGTTAGAAAAATATATGAATTACAAGGGAAAAAAAATGGCAGATAATGTTAGGAATGAAATATGATGGTGACATTGATTTTATTGAGAATTTGTGAACAGAGAAGGAAGAGAATAAGAAGAAGATGAGGTACTTGGTAGGGGAATCCATGGGAGGAGCCGTGGCTCTCTTACTGGACAGGCAAAAGCCTCACTTCTGGGATGGTGCCATTTTGGTTGCCCCCATGTGTAAGGTTCGCATTCTTTTGTTTTTATTTGCATTCAAATTCAAATTTCAATATACTCACAAATATTACTTTTTTTTTTGGTTCTTTCTTTTCTTATTTTCAATACACGAGCTGGTCCCTAAAACTGCGACTAGTCATGGTTTCTTTTTCATTTTATGTGACAAACATCAGGGACGTGAAACTTCTTCTTGTTTTTTTTTTTTTAAACAGACGATTTTCTCAAAATTCTTATCTTCCAATAATTCAAAACCTGCACATAATTCATTTACTAGTTTCTCAAATTGTTTTAAATAATTCTGTGATATTCTTTTTATAAATTCATCAATAATTTTTCTAATTTACATCTTCTGTATGTGCATCCCTAGATCAGATTAGCAAATTCCGATATTGTCTCTCTCTCTCTCTATATTGATATTTTTAATTCAAAAATATGTTTGTCATTAGTTATAATTATACCTAACCTTATCACGATTCACGATCCATTATATTAAAATAAAATATTCAGTAGTAGCAAGTGATCGATGATGCATATCCTGTTGAATAATTATTTATTATTATTTCCCTAACTACTTTACTTGGAATGAGGATGCTTGGATTTTACTTTTGGTCAATGAAAATAAAGTAGAATGCCCGATGTTGATATCTCGATAATGATTAACAAGATCCGTCACAATTTGATTTACCAAATCGTGGGCATCAATATCAAAATTCAAAACCAACAGATATAAACATGATTCACTATTATTGTGATTCGCGGATGAAATATATGGACCCTACATGTTGACTTAAAATGCTTGCATTAATTAAGGGCTTCCTAAAGATAATGCTATCAAGTTCATGTATGTGTACTATATGCTTTAAGAAAAAGTCACGTTTTCCTTACCAACTCCTCCTCATTTATTGAGGAGGAAATTAGTATAATTTCATAGTAATAATAATGATTAACACTACTTCTGCATCCATTCTTTCATATAAAAGCTAAAAGCTAATTTGTAGATAGATTTAAGGTGTGAATTTATTTTGAAAAGTTTTTACTTAACAATGTTGGGAATCTAAAATATTTTTGGGTGCAAATTTGCTTAGGAGTTTAAAATCATAGCGTAATATTACCCCACAGTTGATTATTAAAATAATGATATTAATGGTTAACATTTTTAATAGTTAAAAGACAATATTGCTATATATGATTTTAAAGGCAATTTTACACCTAAAAAAACTGTGCTCCTAAGTAAAAACTTTCAAAGCAAATTTAAAAAAATTGATTAAATTAGCTATTTATAACAAATATATTTTAGATTTTTTAAACTACCTTATTTGATCTTGTGCATTAAAGATATTTCTTTATTGTAAACTCTTTTAATATGTGTAATCAATAGGGATATTTTAAATAAAAAAAACTATAAATTTGGGAAACAAATGGACTAGAGTCTTATATTTAAGACTAAAATAAAGCTTTTGTTTAAATATTGCAGATGTATTATTTAGAATTGGGGGTAATTTTACCAAAGATTGTATGATAATTTGAGTGAATGAATGATGGTGCAGATAGTGGATGAAATGAAGCCGAGCCCACTAGTGATCAACATGTTGACAGCACTAAGCAGGATCATTCCCAAGTGGAAATTAATACCAACCAAGGATATAATTGACATTGCCTTCAAGCAGCCCCAAGTTAGAGAACAGGTATTCATCCATCTATATAACTATGATGCGCCACTGCCACATTCCAAAACCTGACTGAATATATATATATATATATATGTATATATGTATATATATTTCTATGATGAAATTATTGCAGATTAAAAATAACCCATTGTGCTATAAAGGACGGCCTAGATTGAAAACTGGATACGAACTTTACAGAATTAGTGTACAACTGGAGCGAACATTACAGGAGGTATATAAACATGATATTTTTGTTTCATTTGTATATGTATTTGTGTAATCTTGCATCAAAGGAAATTTTACGGTGTCAGGTGTGCATGGATGAATACTTTATGAGTGGATTTGTTCACTAACATCTGTTTCTTATAAAGAGGCATAGATATACCACCATATATATGTGTATAATACAAAATAAACGGGTTTGTTTGGATATGCAGGTGTCACTACCGTTCTTGGTTCTACACGGTGAAGATGACAAAGTGACAGATAAATCAGTAAGCATTCAGCTGCATAAGGTGGCTTCAAGCAAAGATAAGACACTAAAGTTGTATCCCGGAATGTGGCATGGCCTCCTCATCGGAGAGCCGCCGGAGAACTTGAACATCATTTACAAAGACATTGTCGATTGGCTTGATGATAAATGCAAGTATGGAAGTATCAGATTGGAAAGAGAGCTTAAAAACCAAAACGAGGACAATCCAACAATTGAGGCTTAGACAACACACTAAGCTTGTATTTTAATGTCCTATCTACATTCGTGTTGTTACTGGTTTATATGTACCTACCAAATTACAAACTATTGGGTGTCTATATATTCGGTTGGTAGAGAATCAATCAATGTTTGGAACCTTAATTTGTGCCATTAAAACACTTTTAATTTCCCTCAACAAACATGATAGATCAAGCACCAACAAGTGTCGGTCCAAGTGAAAAGGACTTGGACACCTTAAACATCATGTCGTGGGTTCGATCTTTAGGGCGGTATATATGAAACAAACACTATTGGAGGGGTTCCCACTATGGTGCTTGACAGTACCTGAGAAATTAGTCTCTCATCATTCGAGTGGAAAGATACTCTGGGCAAGTAAAAAAAAAACATGATAGATCAAGCAGTATGAGTGCTTTGAAAAGATGTCGAGAAAAATCGAAAAGGATATTTAATAAAATTATTGAGAGAGACTTTTTAATTAATAATTTATGTAAAAAATATAGCTGTTAATAGAACACTCTCTGGTCCTTACTATAAATGCTAATTGACTAATTTGAATAGATGAAGAAAATCTGTTAAGTTATTTATTTGTAATAAATATATATTATCTTTTCTAAAATACCTTTGCTAATCAAATGTGTTAGCTTTAACATATGTAACTATGGACTATCTTGAGGAAAAATCAATAAATAAGAAAGACAAAGTGAATTAAGATCTTATATTTATAACTAAACTGAAAGTCAAATTAGTTCTTATACTACTTCCGATCCTAATTATAAGATCCCGTTGATAGTCTATAAATGAGGTCTTATAATTAAGATCAAAAGTAATACAACAGTGCCATGGGATTCATATATTTGATATGGTGGAACAAGGCTTGTTGTCTGTGGTTTAATAAAGACTGTTTCTTTGAATTCATCCACACGAGAGTGTTCATTCAATTTTCTTTCTCCCCTCGAGTCCTGACTTCGTTGATTTAGTTCTGTTTGGGCAACAATTGTTACCGAACCAAATTTAGTCCTCAAAGAAAAAGAACCAAATTAAACCTTTTTTTTTCCCCCTACTCCCCTAATGGGCTACAGAAAGTTGACCCTGAAAAGTGGGCTATGCAAGGTTAGTTGTGTTCTAGGTTCATTTTTTTGGGCCAATACGGAGGGACCAAAATGAAATGGGTATAGAAAAACCAAAATGGGCCAACACGTTACAGTCATTTGATTAGGTGCCCAAAATAAAATAGGGAAAACTAATTTAGAAGTCCCTATAAGTTGTTTCAGTTTTGAATCAGGTTCCTCAATTTATTTTTCTTTTTATTGGGTCTTTTAATTTTTTGCTATTACAGCTGTTAGTCCTTGTCGTTTAAATCTATTAAATAAGTATTGATACTGTTAAGAATTTCTGTTACAAGGCACGACTCATTCAATAATAAAATGCCATGTCTAAAAGCATCCTCGTCTCTTCCTGTTCACATCTTCTTCCACAGTACCAAGCTCTCCTCTCTCTTTTTGCTCATTCCTCCTCTTCTTCAACCTCTCAACCTATAAATAGCTCACAATTTCTTCTCATCTCACCATAACATTTCCCTGCGGTCACATCTCCTTCTCCATCCAACTTGAGGCCATTTGAAGCTTCTTTTAATGAATGAGAATTATTTTGCAGTTTTGATGGATTCAACTTCATGAAATGTATTGGAGGTTCTTTAACCAACCAAATGTTATTGTCATAGAAAAGCACAAAAAAGGATCAAAAATCTTGTTTAGGCACTAAAGTAAAGACACATTTTTTTTGGGTAACTTTGTAATGTTTCTGAAAATTAAGATAATGATGTTTAAATGGCCAAAATTTGTCTGCAACAAAGAAAAACAACGATTCTATTTTTCTTCAAGCCCCTGTTTTAGTAATAGAAAAACAAAAAGATCAAGGAAGCAACCAACAACTTCTCCAAAGGTAAACTAGACTAAATCCTCAACAAGGTTTGAGTCATTGCCAAGTCAACCATGGTAACCCTGTTCACTTTCTTTGTTGTTGTGTCAAACTAGATTGCCAATCCCTTATCATCTATGAATTTATCTCTAGGTACAGTTTCACAATTGCGTTGGACAAAGCCTTAAAGGAATTGCAGCTTGACTACCTATTTCTCTATCCGGTATACTTTTCCATTTGATCTGTCATTCAAGAATAGTAAGGGAGATGTTGATGAATGAGCAAGAAGAGAGAGGAGAGCGTGGTCTTGAGGTTGCGGTGGAAGGAGACGATGCTAACATGAAGAGAAGATGATGTTTTTAGATGTGGCAGGAAAGTGGGCAATGCTTTTTAACGAAAATTCTTAACAGTGCTAGTATTTATTTAACAAATTTAAACTCCAAGGACTAACAACTCTAACAATAAAAAAAATTAAAGGATCCAATAAAAAAGAAAAAAAATTTAAGGACCTGATTCAAAACTGAGGTAAATTATAAGGACCTCCAAATTAATTTTCCCAACAATAAAATAAAAAACAGTATGAATAAAATAGGTTTTCCTATTTTTTAATAAAATAATATGAATAAATAGTATGTAATGGAAAATATATTTGAAAATTTTAATGATATTTTTGTATAATCTTCTAATGATCACTCTTTCTAGACTATTTTTTAAAATTTATATTTAAATACTGAACTTTGTTTAACAAAAATTAAATTATTTTTTCTATACTTCATATTGAATTAGGCTTGGGAAATTAATATTTTTTGTACATATTTTAAATAATCAAATTAAAAATGTATCAATTCATAGAAATCAGAAAAAAATTTATCCATGCAATATTTTATCTTCATAAAACAAAATATATTATATATTATTTTTCTAACAAAATAAAAAAAATAAGATGCTATTGTTTTAATATTTATTATTAATCAATTATTTTTTTTGAATAATATTATTAGTAATTAATAATGAGATGTTTAATTTCCAATTCTTCGTCCATTTGATGATTTGAATTGAATGAATGGAAACTGAAATTGAGATTACCTAAAAGACAAAAATATCCCCAAAGAAAATTTCGATTCACGCTGTCGTCCATATTAAACCCAAAAGGGCTTGGCTGCAGAACCCCACGGACCCGGCGCATATCTTCATTTGCCCTACTCCTTGGCTGCCAAACCTGACTGCCAGTGCCGCCACTCCGACGTCCGTCGTTTTCTTTCTCGCTTCCGTCATCGGTACGACATTTTCTTCTTTTAATTTTTCTGAATTCACATATTTGTCATTTTTGGGCTAATGATTCACTGATTTGTCGAGCAAAGTGTAAATTAGTCATGGGCGAGGGATTATGAACTGGTTAAAGTGGTTTGTCTCATCTTAGTGACGGGTTCGTGTTGATTTTGGTTGTGTTTGATATAGCTGAGTAGCGACGAGGGCTTCATGGTGAGTTGGCCGAGTTTTCATATTTTCTTATCATTCCGGGGATGGGGACGACTCCAAATCTATATAAATAAGGTTTACAACAAAGCCATGAGAACGCTTTCTCCTTTTCTTGTTAAATTGAAATTTGGTTTTTAAAAAATTGGTCATCCTAAGTTAACGAATGTTCCAAGTTGAAATTCTTTTGTGAATTTCACAGATAACTTGCTTACTATCTGTTGATAGTCCCAATTCTAGGGTTTTGGTTCTTCGGTAATTAATGTCATTTCATGAAATGTTCTTTATGATGGTATTACAGAGAAAAGTGAGGATAGCTCCCACTTCCTCTGGTATCTGCTGTGCTGAAGTTAAGCCCTTTCTCATCCTTCCTTGCTCACGATGAAGCTCGTCAGGTCTCTTTTTTCTGTCTCTCTTAATCTTCTTCGGCATTATTGATTTTTTGGCCTAAAGCTGACTATGAACATTTGATCAGGTTTTTAATGAAGTTAAACAATGAAACTGTGTCAATCGAGCTGAAGAATGGTACCGTTGTTCATGGCACCATTACAGGTTTCTTCTCTTCCTTTTTGCTCATTCTTGTTTTCATTTTCAATTCTTGGAATGTTGATTTTATTAGGTTTTTTGGAACATCGTACTTTGAAATGTACGCTGTAGTCCATAGCAACATAACAAGCTTAGAAGTTTTCTTACTTCTTTTATAATTTAAAGTGTCATGATTTGTTCAATACTAGTGCCTGGCATGTATTGCACGCGAATACTACTTATTTTTAAGTTTGCTTTATAAATGCCTTTATAGTCTTGATAGCCTTTTTTAGGCTGTTTGTGTACACCCAGAGGAAGTTTTCCGTTTAAAATATTCCAATTGCGCATACATGGCTTTGATCTGTGTGGATGCTTTATAGATAGTTGTTGTACAGGTTTATATTTAATATTCCCATTGGTCCTGGATATAATAGTAAATGGAAGGGTTTGCTTTGGTCTTAAATATAAGAATTCAATTCATTTTGTCTCCCAAATTTATAACATTCCCCCCCAAATTCTCCTTATTGATTATACATGTTAAGGGGGTTTTCTATCAAGAGGCCAGTATCCAATGCAAATGATTAGAATGGGTACTTTAAGGCAAACCAACACCCATTTATTAGTTATTTTTATAAATTAGTTATTTAACTCTTATATTTAGGACCAGAGGCAATATTTATGTTAAATTTCTACTTTTATGCCCTAAGTGCTCCACTTTCCCATCTTCATTAACACCTCCAGTATTTTCCTGGGGGCTTCATTATCTTGAGTCATGATATCTATAATGGGGTAGATTTAGTTGTCAGTGTCCGGTGGGATTTTGTGAGACATCGCCACAAGAGTATGTGCTGCTCAAATGGCACACGATCATGCCCTACATTCTCCATTTTTAATTAGCCAATGATGGGTACCACTTGCATAATGTGTAGATCTCAGTCCATGTATGGTCTTTTAGTCTGTGATCTCATTCTACCTCCTAATGGTACCTTTATAACTCCACTTTTCTAACTGTCTCTGCTTTTGACCAAAAGAAAAACTGTCTCTGCTGAGATTATTGCAGCCTTCTTTCTGTTTGCATCATGCTGCATCAACGACTGTGGCATAGAATAGTTTGTATGATTTTTCATTGGTGCTTTGCCCCTCCCTTTTGTAAGGGAATCTCATCATCGGATATGCATAGGGATTAGGGAGAATTATTGCACTGTTGAACTTGTTTATAAATTTCTTTGCTGAGAACATCTTATCTTAATATCCTTCTTCTCAATTGTACCTTTGACTTTTCTCTTCTAATAGTCGCTTGTTATAAAAATTGAGTTCAGTACAGTCTGGAAGCTGTAGCTAAACCTTTGAAAAAGGGAAACTTAGAGGAGCTATATTTGTGTCGGGGACTTGGAGGAGACATAATGTGGCACTTTAAATCACACATGGTCACGCTAGATGTTGCTGTATCATTGTGTCTGTGTCAGACTTCTGTCCTATGATTGTTTTAGTCTGTTCTTCTTGGAGTTAAATTGATTCTCAGCCTTCTTTTGCCATAGGTGTGGATATCAGCATGAATACACATTTGAAAACAGTTAAGCTTACTCTGAAAGGGAAGAATCCAGTGACCCTGGATCATCTCAGTGTGAGGGGTAACAACATCCGTTATTATATCCTTCCTGACAGCTTAAATCTTGAGACCTTGCTGGTTGAAGAAACACCTAGGGTGAAGCCCAAGAAGCCTACTGCAGGTGGTACCATATTCAGTTTGATTACAAGACTGACTGTTTATACAAACACTTTTGGCTCTGGTTACTTGTTATTTAATCATTTCTGATTTCATTAATTTCGATTGCATTTGCAGGAAAGCCATTGGGCCGGGGCCGGGGTCGCGGACGTGGACGTGGAAGAGGTCGTGGCCGTTAAGTTTGAAATTTTCAGAGTTTTTGTGGTATGTAGTTGTTAACCAATGTTGTATGGAGACATTATGGGCGGTTAAGGAACACTGGAGAAGCAGTACCGTTAATTACTGAGGATGAGTTTGTCTGGACACTTTGTTGTAAGTGTTACTGCTTATAAGTGTAAGATCACCATCAAGCTGATGCGACCTGAATTATCTGCAGGCTTATTATTAATGGGTAAATGGTGGCATCCATTTTAATTAGTATCGACGGATCTCCCATAATTTCTTTATGAAACAGAATTCTGTGCTTTCTTTGTAGGATGCTTAATGAGAGTCTCTTGTGAATGACAAAGTGCCTTATTGATATCGATCTCTCTCCTTGCTTCATATATGAATCACGTTTCATGAAATCTGTGTGGACTAATTCCACTTTGTTATAATCATATGATGCACTGAGTTTGTTGGTTTTTGTTGTAACTTGGAAACATACAGCGACTCACGCGTCGTATGTTAATTATGATGTTGCATTCTGGACTTCAGTCCTGGCCCTCATATATTTTTCAGTCAGCATCTAACCCCTCGAATCTCAATTCCTTTCTCAAGTAATCACAGAATATACATATTTCATTTTAGTGGGATAATTGGACCAGGCCCTCCATGGGGTTTTGGGTAAATTACATGCTGCTTACGTTTAGAGTTTATAAACATGTTATAAAGACAAAACTTCCTTTACCTCGTATTATTGATGACTCAATATGTATATATGTACTACACTCGCAAGTGTTTTCGGGTGGGGGTGGGGTTTGATTGGCAATGAGAAAAACAGATCAAGAGCTCAAATTTAAAAATACATTAATTCCATCCAATGAAACTACGAAGTACAAGTCATCACCGTAAAAAGCAATAAAAACTTTAACAGCTTTTATTAAACAGAGGGTTTAATTTGTTATTCATAAATTTTGAGCAGTATGATTTATCATGCTTTGACCATACTTACTTTTTTATCTGAAAACTATAATTCCTTCCATAAAAAAGTATAATTTAATTATAAAAAGCATGTTTAGTTAATAGCAAAGAAAAGAAAGGAATGATAAGGATCGTGACCCCTGAATATATTATTTTCTCTTAAAATTATATAGATGTCATGCATGTCTGGCCCCAAAATTATGAGAACTTTGTATCACATGTCTCATTTAATCTCAATCCCCTTATTCTTAACTCTTGACTACGCTCCTTAGCCTAGTTATTAACATGTGCTCTCTACTTTTATTGCTTTAATTCAAATCCTATACTAAACATGTAAGAGAAATTATTTGTGTTTGAACATGCGTGCATTCAACATCTACGTCATCTTATTTATTTTGTTGCAATCTGCCTTCTATTTTTCTTGGGGCCAACTTAATGGACATCTTTTCAGATTTTTTGTTTTCGTGTACAGTACATTTATTGCAAGAATCTTTCAAATAATTTGTCCAAATGGGCTAGGGGAGAGTTCTTGGCTACTCAATCCAATGGGTGCGTGCCTTGTCAGGGTATGGGCAACATTTGGATGGTAGCGAAACGAGAGCACCACATATGTGGACTAAGTGGAAATATCTTTCTTTGTACAGGCTTCATAAGAATAAATATATAAATATATATATTATTGCATTCACTATTATCTTCAGCATATATATTAATCAACTAGCAGCCCATCTGCTTCATACCTTTCAACACTCTCATTCTTCCTCCTCTATTCCCCTTCCGAACACTGTCCTCCACTTGGTATGTGTGTATCAACGTGTGATAATAAGCAAGCTCTTGGAATTATTTATGAGGAACTATGCTCAAACATATCATATGATTACCTAGCTGAGATGTTAATTAAAACAAACACAACCAAAGCCTCATTAATTGCATTAAGTGAGGTTCACTGTTATTATACTCCATCTAAATCCAGTTCTTTTGATAAATCATTAACTAAGAGATCTCGATTAATGACTCTTTTAAGTATCCTTTTTGTCCTCCTCCTACTTTTTTTCACAAGACTAAAGACTATTTACTCACCCCTCTTTACTGGTGTTTCTAATGACTTTCTTTGCACGTCACTAATCATTTTAAATAATTTTTTACTGTTTTTTTTTCGTCAATAGATGCAACACCATCTCATCCTCTTATATAATCACTATATATCTTGTTTTTTCTTATGTAGCCACATATTCCATTTCAACATTCTCATCTCTACTCCCCCATTTTATGATCATGTTGCCCTTTCAATACTCAACATTCATTGCCATGTAATATCATTGGTGTCATAGTGATCGATATGATAAAATTTTTCTTTAAGCTTAGAAGGGACTTTGCGATCACAAAGAACTCATGATGTCTTCCTCCATTTCATCCACCCTGGTCTTGTATATGCGTAATTAGTTCATCATCAATTTCATTGTCATTTTGTAGAATCAATCCCAAATACTTAAACTTTCGGACATGTGGTTATCGTTTGCCGTTTAATCTTTACCTCCAAATCACTTCTAACTTGCCTCTTATTAAATTTGTAACGCATGTATATACCATGTCTTGCTTCTGCACAAGCGAAAGTCATTTGATTCCAAATTAAAGTTCAGCTTCGTAACTCCAATTTTGAGTTAACCTCTTCTCAGGACTATCTCATTTATAAATGGTATGCACTTGGGGATTTTCTCTCGAATAAGCTCAGTTAAGACATGTAAAACCAGGTCAAACAAATATGAACTTAAAGATGATATTTGATGTAAACCAGTTCTTACAGAGAAGTCATTTATCTCACCTCCAAGTGTTCTTGTTCAAACCATAAAACCCTTGACACTAAGATCATAAGCTTTTTCAGATCAATAAATTGCATATGCAAGATCTTTTCCCTTATCCGGATACTGCTTCGTCAACCCTTTAACCAATAATTAAATAGCCTTCGTTTTTTTTGGGAGACACATGTCTTGTTTCTCAATCTGTGATCTATCACTCTTTTCCATAATTTTATAGTAAGATGTCAATTAAAACATTGATTTTTTTCCCAGATGAATGAATGACCGGACTGATCTGTTCAATGATATATAATACTGAAATGTTGAAATGTACATGTATGTACATGTGGATCCATCAAGAAAGGAGTATGTAATGTGTAGAAGATGAAGTGGGGTTGTCGTGAAGGAGGAATTCTGGGTGGGGGTACCCCACAGATCACGTGAAGGGGGTGCCCTAATGGTAATCACAGAATTGGACAAAGAAATAGTCATTTACAATCTCCTCTAATCCCCTCCCAACCAATTATCATTTATCTCCCACGTGGGCCTCTGGACCCCACTCCCCTCAATCACCCTCGCCACTTTATATATTGTACTCTTTTACCCTCTTTTGCATCTGTCTCCTTCACTGCTACTTTGATCTCCTCCCCTCTTTAATTCTTCATATCTTTTCTGTTACATTTATTGTGTATTCCCTTCGCCCTCACTTCACTTGCATTCAATTCCCATATTAATTCTCAGATCCTCGATCAATCCTCTGATTTGAAGATCACCAACCAATTTTATAGGCTATCACACACGCACACATAGGATCGATCATATATATTATGGGAGACTCTTCTTCATCTTCTTCATCTTCTTCATCAACTTCTGCTGCTTCATACATTCATATGGTATGCTCTTAATTTGCATACTCTTTTTAGTTATAAGCTTGCTAGCTTCAGCTCTCTCTTATTGATTTGATATACGCACACCCACAAACATGAAGATGATGAAGATTGCAACAAGTTGACTGATCAAATTATGACTATGATGTTTGGTTGATGTGTGAGATCACAGGTGCAGCATCTGATCGAGAAGTGTTTGACCTTTCACATGACAAAGGAAGAGTGCATGGAAGCCCTTTCTAAACATGCAAATATTAAGCCTGTCATAACATCCACAGGTATATTTTGTGTGTGTGTGTGTGTGTGTGTGTTTTAATATATTTACTCCGCTTCTCATTGTGTGTGTATATAAACTACTTTTACTGTCTCTTCCTACCTCCCCACCATGAAAAGATCATAACTTTATATACAAGTCTACGGCTTTCTCATCAACATGTCATTTCGAAAGACTTTCTGCACTCAAGCTCTCATTATTATAAGCTTGAATATATGATCACAACAGCCAATAAGTTTTACTTTATAGCTTGACTCAGTTACGCAGGTTTAGATAGTATATATAGGGTCTCATATTTGAGTTTTGTGGACAATTTTTCGTATTGGGACTTTCTTAATCTGCACTTGACTTCACAAATATGATCTAAGCCAAAAACATGTTTTTTTGTGTGACTCTCTGCAATATTTGGTGCCTCAGGGAGTTTAAACAATTGCGGTTAAGTCTTTTTCAACCGCAGATGTAATAATTGTCGCCAACTAACTTAACGACAACTGAATATCCAGTGCAAATGAGAATTATTACAACCCCTTTTTTATTTGTACAGAAGGGGGAAAAAATACCTGTTTAATAGACCAGATCTGGATCCTCTTATATCTATACACCCACAAGTTGACACAACATATATATGTATGTGCTGAAATGGAAAGAAATGGTACGCATGAGAAACACCAAATCTAAATATGCGGCTAGAAATCACTAAAACTTATACGGTAGGCTGAGTTGTTTCCCTTCTGAACCATACATACATATATATGTGTGCGTTTGTGATTCATAGTTGCTGGCTCAAATTGCAGTATGGAACGAGTTGGAGAAAGAAAACAAGGAATTCTTCGAAGCATATGCAGAATCGAAGAGTAAAGACGATAGAATGTCCGAAGAAGAGACAAGTCAGATGATACAGAAGATGATCTCTGATCATTCCTCCTCTAAAGATGCAGACTAATAATCCATCTGCCATTGACAACGATCTCTTCCTGTTCTCTTGTGTTTTAATATATTCACTTGGGATTTACGTACTTTGTCTTCTTCGACCCCGAAAGCACACAGCCTACTCTCTCTCTCTCTCTGTGTCCCCGGAGAATCTTATTTCTACCGTACGTACATGGTCCCATGCAAGGTTTCTTGTCTTTCTATATTTCTGTCTAATGTTGTTATCATCAGCTTCTTCAAGGAAAGGTCGGCGTGCCACGCAAGCAGCAAGAGGATAACTTGTATGTGCAATTTGATGTCTGATAATAATGTAAGATGCTGATATGGCGTTTACTGATTGGATTCTGGTGCCTGCGAAATCTTTCAATATATCAACATCACTTTTATTTACGCAGGCGGAGAAGTGAGAATCCAAGAATCGGAGCTACGAAAATATTATTTGCAAATTCTAACTTTAGATTGTATTTAATCCTTGCTCTTAGACTTTGGTTTAATTAATAATAATGTAATGTCTGTGAAGAGATCAATTTTAGATCCTATATATTTGAATATGTTAAAATAAAATAATTCTAATTAATTATTTTGAATAATTAATAGTCTTAATTAAATAAAGATAACATCTTATCTTATATTGTCCTGTCATGCCTTTAAAAAATACTCTTCCGATCCTAAATATAAGACCCTTGAATTTTGATATTGGACTCACCAAACTCATCTTACAATTGCCAACTACTAGGATTCGGGGACATTATCATCACCTTTTATTGACGCAAATACTAATTAATCTTGGTAATATCCAATTCTTTTGTTTTTTGATACTATCATCCGGCTAATACGTTCAAGGTTCGTGGCTTCTCCTCTCTACAAAGGTGAATTTATATATAGAGATGAATTTATTTATAATAATATGAAGGTCCTCACCAGTGGGGATGATAATGTATTAGAATCTCTAATAAAAATCTAATGATATATACAATATATTCCTTTACTTTTTAGGAATCTGATATGAAAGTGTCCTTTGTTCAAATCAAATCCAATTTATGAACCGGTGAACTACTCCTCCCACTTTTCATGCGAGAGTTACTTGCAGATAAATTAAGAAAGCTAAATTGATAAATTATTTTTTTAAACAAATAAATTAACGAATTACTTAATTCTAATAAATATGACATGTTTTTTCTAAAATATTTTTAAGTAACATTAGATTATAAATTTATGAGAAAAATGATCAATATGAAAGATTAAATGAGTTAAGATCTTATATTTAGAATTAAAATTAATTTCCTAACAAGCTTCTAACTGGATGAGTAATTTTTCACACATAAATTTAAATGTGAGTTTAGTTATTGTTAGTTTTGTTACCATATAAGGTTAGCTCCATTATCGCCATCAATATGATTTGAGGTTTTTCCTCAATTTCTTCATTTTCCAACAAGTTAATTATTAAATCACAAGACAGAGTAACGACCTTTCTGATAGAAGTTCTAATTTTCAACCGCTATGTACAACTGCTTAGGTGCAAAATACACACGCACGCACGCCCGCACACTAACAAAGAATCAAAATCTTAGGACCTCTACTAATTCTTCCACTCTTTAAGAAATATTATTGTGGAAGGAGGGGGCAGGGTCGGTGGCAAATGGCAAATGTTTCTGACTTTCTGGAAAAGCAAAACTGGGGCCCTCAAATGAAGTTAGGACTTAGGAGAAGAGTAGTGAGCAAGTTCAATCGCTAGATCCGTTTGGAATAGCGATTAAAAAAGTAGTTTATTGTTAATTTGATTTTTAGAAAAGCAAAATTGGATAAAAGTTAAATTGAATAAATTGAATTGTGTTTAGATTGAAATTTAGAAAAGTTAGTTTGTAAAAACAGGAGTGGTAATACGGGCTAACCCACAGGTTGCGGGTTGGCCCGTGACGGGTTTAACCCATATGGGTCGGGTTGAAAAGTGTTGTTTAAAAGAAGGTTGTCTTTTAGCCAACCCTAACCTGTCAAGATGGATTGGCCCGCCAACCCGCCAACAATTATTTATTTTTTTTAAAAGTTTTTTTCTTATTCAATATTTAAAAAAATATAATGAGATTTTTATTTTTTTTCTTGAAATATTTGATTGGAAGTACTAAATAAATTATATAGGTATTTTTAAAATTTTTTAGATATAATATTATATATAATAATACAATTATAATAATTTTTAAAAATTTTAAAAATAAAAAAAATAAATGTGGGTTAGCCCGCCAATGGGCTGCAGGTCTGACAATGCGGGTTAGAAAATTCGTTTACTGGTGGGTTGGCTTTTAGCTAATCCTAACCCATTATTTTTGGCTGGTTGGACCTCCATATTACCAGTTCTATATAAAAGTGAGATTAGTAAAAAGTTGTTTGGATTATAATTGAGTAAAAGTAAGTTTAGTTATAAAATGATCAAAATAGGTATGAGTTTTAATAAATAATGAAACATGATTAAAAAAATGATTTTATATAATACCATGAAATTAAAATAATTTAGTATGAAAAAGTCAAATTTAATAAGTGAATTAAATTTTAAAATTGCAAATCCAACATTTTAATTTCTAAACTTTCTCTTTTTTTATTAATATTTTTATGAGTTATTAATTTCAATTCTCTTCTAACAAAATAAATCTCAGTCTCACCTTTATTTTTTTTATAAAAAAAATGGATCTTTAGTTGCCACATGGTGTCACCAGGATGGGGATATAGATAACGCCTGCCATGTGCTTGCAAATATAAGGCAGATGGGAGAGAAAAATAAAAAGTGCCTGACACATTTGCAAAACGGCTATGAGCTCTTCAAATTGGAAAATAAGCTCTCTCCTCCTAGCTTATTCCAACTGCATGTTCAGAGGGCTTAAAATCCAATAAGCCTGATACATTATAAGCTCTGCAAAACATCACACCATCTTCAATCAGACTTATCTTCAAATTTAAGTCACCTTTGGACTGGCAAACACTGATCCAAACAAGCATATTATTGTGGAAATATACATGGGCCTGAGCTTAAATGCCTTATGCCCAACAATAAGGGAAGCCTATCGCATCGTCTGTTTCTTCGTCAAGATCCAAAATTTCTGCTCCCGTTCGGCTTCTATGACCAAAGCACAAGCGTTCAGATGAGGCCTGGCTTGAATCGTTACACAGAACTTGCAAACAAAATAATGGTTTGTTACTCTTACCAAAAAAAAAATAATAATAATGGTTTGTTACAGAACATATGTGTGCGTGTATAGAAAGAGAGAGAGATGGATGGGCTGGTTCAAGGCAGAAGAAGAGGAGGAAAGGTGAGGATTAAGAGAGAAAGGAGTCCCATATCGAGGAGAAATAGAAGTTGAAGGGGGAGAAGTGGGTATAAATAAGAGGGAGGGTGCAACACTTAAAGGTGCCTTAAACTAATGAGTAAGGAAAACAAAGCGAGCGGTGGGAGCCGGTCGCAGCGCTGAACCAAAAGGGCGCAAGAATTTATGGAGGGGTGATAGGCTGGCCGAGCGTTGACGCTGCTTACTTTGCAGAACTCGCTTGTGCGGGCCTCCCAACCCAACCCCCTGATACTCAGTTTTTAACCTTTGATTCTCTTTCCTGGGTTTATTGCAAGACGCCTTTTTGATGTGTTATCCGCCTCGTACGCCCGAAATTTTAAGGTTCCTTCAGTTTATTCAAAACAATAAAAAAATACTCCCTCCGTTCCTTATTATAAGAGATATGTTTCTATATATAAGAGACACTTACAAGTTGTCTTTACTTTTTTGTGTTGATTTACTATTTTACTCATATTTATTATCTCCAACTCACACTCTCTCTCCCTCCCACTTCTCTTTCTTTTAATAATTTAATTGTTCTCTCTTATGCTCTCTCTCCTTATTAATGAGGGCATTTTGGAAAAAAATTATACTTTATACATTAATTGTTCTTAACTAACTTTAACTGTTTTTTTTGATCAATGTACTTCGGTTATTTGTCTCTTATAATAAGGAACGGAGGAGTAGTACTTTTCTAAAATTTATAAATTTATAAATTAAAATAGATTTTATATTCAGGAGAAATAATGACTTTTTTTTTTTTATACTGATACTAATTCATATCTTTAATATTATGAAGTTTTTGTTTGATTTTTATTTTAATTCTAAATAGAAGATTTAATAATTTTTTAAAGTAATCCTTCTAATAATAGTAGTTCTAACTAATATATTTAATTAATAATAATATTTTAAAAAATATTTATTTATTATAAATAACTAATTTAACTTATTTTTTTAATTTATTTAAATTAGTTAGTTCATGCATTTAGAATCATAGATAGTACTCTCCGTCCTTAATAAGACTCATTTAACTAATTTGATTATATTAAGGAAGTTAGGTAAGTTAGTTAATTATAGGAAAAGTGACACATTTTTCCTAAAACGTCATAATCATCTTTCTTAATACCCTCTTCCCTCTTTTACTTGATTATGTTTGAGGAAGTATTCATAGGGGTAATTTAGAGAAAACTGATAAATATGAGAAAATGATCTTATATTTAGGATTAAACCAACTCAAGAATCGGGTCCTATATTAAGAACCGGAGGAGTATTATATTTCGTTGTAGCCAAGTTCAACTAGAGTTCAGCAAAGATAAGACGTACTCTCTCTTGTAAGTTCGATTAGTGAATGTAATTTCCTTCACCGCACGTATAAACTAAAACTTTGACTATCAACAAACAAACAAAAAAAAAAATCAATTTTGTGGCATTTGAAATTGTCGTATTACTCTGACGCACCGTGGGTCGGAAAAAAAGGTTTTGTTGACTTGCACTCTAGTACTTGCCCAACCACAATTGGCCTGTCAAGTAAAAAGTTTTAGACGAATCAAGCGATTTGAATTTCATTTTTTCCCTTTCTTATTGAACATAAAACGACTTGTTTCGGGTGAAAAAGAACAATTCATCAAATTTATGCTTTGGTAACTATTTTGTTGTATTATATATGTTTCATGCATAAATGTTTTATTATATTTTAATTAAATGGCCAGCTTGATTTTCAGCACGTAGAGAACACAATTTACGTTTGAGATTCATCCAAAATAAGAATTTAAACCATTTCCAAATTCCGTAGCCATTGGATTGGTTCTACATAAACATAAGA